TAACTTTCTTTTTTTCTGATTATCAATAATAAGTGTAGATGATCATATTCACCAATAATTGTAATGCTTTGACACAAAACGTTGGATTTTATTCAGAGTTTTCAGTCACCGTTAGTGAGTGTGAGAGTTGTGAATTGTATGGAATTTCCTCCATCGTATGATTATTTTATATGTTATGTAAAATATTGTTATTATGTATTATAATATATACAACAGTTAGTTCCGGCCACACAAGCTGGTTGAGAAGCGTTCTAACTGTGCTGTTATTTCACCATAACATCACAGGTTTTTCACAAACACTGTATCACTCCGCTGAGACGCCGTTGCTAAGCAACGACTTTGACAGCTGTTGGAGACGCTCAAGACATTTAAACATTTTTACTTTTTACTTTGCCACAAACAGAAAACGGATTCTTTTAACATCACATTTGACCGACAGCCGATTTGGTCAGACTCTGAAGATGAGACGACACTAAATTCCCAAACTGTCATCACCACTGAGCAGCTTTTCAGTCGGCAGCTGTGACAGAAGAACAGCTAAACAACCTGGAATCAGCCAGAAATGAACCCAACACCTTTCGCCAAACTAAATGGGCTGTAAGATGCTTTACAGACTGGCTGGAACAAAACAACATTAATACTGATCTGGCAGAAACTGACAAAACTGAGCTAAACCTGATATTGCGGCAGTTTTATGTCTCAGTCTGACTTGGTCAGACTCTGAAGATCAGACTACACGTTTGGCGAATGGTGTTGGGTTCATTTCTGGCTAAAGGGTCCATCTCAGTCCCTTTAGTCAGGGAACATAACTGTACCATAATCCACTGAAATGATATGTTCTAAGCTGTACTGACTCCACACACCCCGTCTCGTCTCCAGGCTTTTATTTTACTGTTCTGTTTAAAACATTCGGTTATGAAAAGGTACAAATACGAACTTTTCACCTGGAAACACTTATTTAAGGTTCACAATCAGACCTTAAAACCACTGTTGGAGCTTTGAGGGAACATTTACACTGTTTGTACCTTGAAGAACTAAAAATGTACCTGAACAGAACCTTCATTTCTGACAGTGTAGTGTTATGTAAACTATATCTACATGATTAAGTAGTGTACACTATTAAAAAACATAAAGAACCATGAACACTCAAAGAACCCTTTGCAAGGTTAAACGGTTCTTTTCATCATGGAATGGTTCTTCAGATTGATGGAGAATGTGCTGTATGGTTCTATATAGTACAAAAAAAGGGTTTTTCTATTGTTACAAGCTTGACATCGGTAACTATAGCAGAACCGCACTGGGTGCTATGTAGAACCATGTTCTTTAGTAAAGAACCCTTGAATAACCATCTTTTTTGAGTGTGTAGCGTATCAGACTGACAGTCCTGATGGTGGACGTTTAAGGGTAAATTTATTCAGTCCATCATCAGTTCACAGGGTTTGGAGGTGTTTCTGTTATTCTGGCCAGTTTACATGAGGAGATATTATATAATAACACTGATCTGTCATTGAGAACCTGTTTGCTGACTGACTGACACTGAGCCGCGGTGTGTTCCTCTGTGTTCCTCAGTAAGGCCGCGGTGCAGGAGGTCCAGGCCAGGAACCTCATCTGTATTTTGGACATTGAAATGCAGGGAGTGAAGAGCATAAAGAAGACGGACCTCAACCCCATCTACATCTCCATCCAGCCCCCCTCCATGGACATCCTGGTACCCAGCCCACTCTCTTACACCACTGTCTGCCTCTGTGGCTTTCCTTTAATGATGTTTCGGAAAATCCACCCTCAGCTGCCGTCGCAGCTCCTCACTGACCCTCTCAGATTTTCTGGACACTGAGCTCGTAGATCAGAAACCTCCATTAAGACTAATAGCTAGATGGAAACAGAGTGACCTGATGTTACTTCAGTGTGGAGATGTAGAGAAGCTGCTCATAAAGAAACCATAGAATGCCAGTCATGCAGCTTCATGTCTTCCGTTCTGGAAGTTGGACACACCTTCAACCAGAGAATACCCTGTAAAGAACCTTACATAGCTCAGCACTTATGACTCATCAGAGTCGGCTCCACAGGCCACACCCTCAGTCTAACACCTCACTGCCTCAGGAATTAGAGATACAGGCCTGAACTTCTCACTCTCTCTGCTGGACACAGTGAGATTATCTTCTAAAGTGTTTAATAAATCTGAGATGGTCAGTTGGGTGGTCCACATCTACTGACCCCTTAACTGTTTCCCCTCCCACATTGTTCTCTTTCAGGAAAAAAGGTTGAGGGACAGAAAAACGGAGTCTGAGGAGAGTCTACAGAAACGTTTACATGCAGCGAGCGTGGATCTGGAGATCAGTGAGTGTTTATACCCAACTACAATCAGCTATACTCAACTTACTGTTATACACAGTTAGCCTGATAACTCTGAACCGCTCTGGTGGTGTTTAATCTACACTGAACTGCTCTGATGGTGTTTAATCTACACTGAACGGCTCTGATGGTGTTTAATCTACACCGAACGGCTCTGATGGTGTTTAATCTACACTGAACTGCTCTGATGGTGTTTAACTTGGACTATAAAAGTCTCATGGTGTTGAATTTGGACTGAACCGCTCTGATGGTGTTGAATTTGGGCTAAAAGGGTCTGATTGTGTTGAATTTAGGCTAAAAGGGTCTGATGGTGCTGAATTTGGGCTAAAAGGGTCTGATTGTGTTGAATTTGGGCTAAAAGGGTCTGATGGTGTTGAATTTAGGCTAAAAGGGTCTGATTGTGTCTAATTTGAGCTAAAAGGGTCTGATGGTGTTGAATTTAGGCTAAAAGGGTCTGATGGTGTCGAATTTGGGCTAAAAGGGTCTGATGGTGTTGAATTTGGGCTAAAAGGGTCTGATGGTGTTGAATTTGGACTAAAGGGTCTGATGGTGTCGAATTTGGGCTAAAAGGGTCTGATGGTGTCGAATTTAGGCTAAAAGGGTCTGATGGTGTTGAATTTGTGTTTCAGGTAAAGAGCCTGGTCTGTTTGATGTCGTCATCGTCAACGATAGCCTGGACGACGCGTACATTGAGCTGAAAGGGGCTCTAATTGAGGTGAGATTGTCCAGTTTTGCTTCCTTTCAGCACAAAATGACTGACCGCATTAGTCATCAGCAAAACTCAGCCTCGGTCATCAGCCTTTGTTTCATAGGCTCTTATTTTCAAGGATAAGCATGTAGATATTTTATCTTTCTCCATCACGCAGAGAGCTGACCTGTACAAACAGCCAGAAAGCTGGACAAACAAAAACAATAGACAGAAAAGAAAAGGTGATGAATAAAAGGTTCGTCTTGAAAAAAGGACAGGGATCCTGAGAGGCTCCTGACCCTGAGGACGTAAAGCTCCTAACTCTTTTTAGAGCACGAAATATGGAATATAGACAATATAATTTATAATCCAAGCACTGTAAGATTGATTTTATTTATTTATTTACTTATTTACTTATTCATTCATTCAATCATTCGTTCATTCAAGTGTCGTTGCTGCTGATTCCCACCACTAGTGAATCTCCCCACCAGCAAACAGTAGATTATAAGACAAGAGATGTTTACAGAGCTGTGTGTGTTTTTAATGTTTGAAAATATCCCATTATTTTTATTCCTGCCCAACAGTTTCTCTCCTTTATATTCATACTTTTAGTATAACTTATTTTATGATTGATTCCAGCAATAAAAAATCCATTCCAACCTTCCCAAATCAATTCTAATGTTGTGTAATTGTTTTTAATATTCCACTGTCAATTGAAACTTTCCAGAATATACGCTAATATGACAAAATTGATTCTAACGTTTTATAAATTGACCAGAAACACTTCAAAATACATGCTAACATTTCAAAGTCCATTCCATAATTGATCTGCCATTCCAGAATAAATGCTAACTCTCCATAATGGATTCCAGAATCAGTGAAGCTGAATCTCCGACCTTCAGCCGTGTTTTACACCTCTAACCGTTCTGTCCTTCCGATTTGTCTCCTGGAAACAGGAAATCCAGACTGTCCAAGGTTCCACCAAGGCCTAAACTACTCCCAGCCTGACGGACACGGGCGTTCCAACTCCGTCAGCGTTTTCCAGGCTTTTCCAGAACATTCCTCCAGCCCCGACACACCCCCGCCCCCAACACCCACACACCTGCTCACACGCCCTCCTTTCTGCTGCAGCTGAACGATCCGCTTCATTGAAGCTGAACGATCAGTTTACAGGTACATTCACACAGTAATACAGGAGCTTCAGACAGAAGAACCACAGTCGTCACCCTGATCACGTTCTTTAACCACCTCGAGGGACCCTGAAGCTCCGAAGTCCAGAAACTACAGCACACGAACTGTGTATTTATACGCTTAGTCGGATGTAAACAAAGCAGAGCTTCCTTTATGTATCACGCAGCGGGCTGGCGTTCCATATTCCACTCTAACTGACGCTGAACACCGAGACCATGTTTGCTGTTTTCCTTGGTTTTGTTTTTTATCACTCGCGAGTGATTTTTCTTATTGTTTTACGATGAGGGGAGGTTTTTTCATCTTTTATATTTTTTGCTTTGTATTCTTTTATTCTGCTGGAACGGACAGCGCACTGACCAAACAGCGACTCCACACGTATAAACCAACATGCTCTCATGGTATCTCATTCACTCAGTGCCTAGAGAGCTGTCTGTCCCCGTGTGCTACTGTCCAGGCAGTTAAAGCTGAACTTAGAAGTGCTCTGAATAGAGAGTGATTCCACCAAATTTCACAACATCACCGCCTAGCGCAGGCTAGCTAAGATGTTAGTTAGCTGTCTGACCATTTAAAACTGAGGCAGCAAGGCGAGCTAGCATGCTAATATATTCTTGATCTACATCAACCTGGACAAATAAAACGACATCTGTACGCTTTCATATAAGCCATAATTCGGTTTAAATGGCTTAAATTTTAAGATGCGTCTGGAATAAAATGTTTGAAGGAAGCTCGTCCCGTTGTACTCTGGATCTGGCCTGTTGGTTAACGATCTTAAAACTTGGCAAAAATAAAATGGGGAACATATTTAAGTATCCAAGCATATTTAGTTCGTAGGGGGCTCGCTGGGTATTGAGACACAGCCGCAGACAGCTATTTATTATATCCAGTTACAGCTATTTATTGTAAGCCTTGTGTCCAGACATTCTGGAATATTCCTACATGTTGTTTTGTTTGGTCTTCGCTCTCTGAAGCGTAGCGCTGAGCTTCAGGAACAGGTTTATAACATTTAGTTACGTAGTTTATTGAACACGTTGTTGATCGTTTGATCAGTGCTGACTCCCAGATCTCCAGCATGGAGGTCACACGTTTTAATCGAGGGTCCAATTCCTAACGTACAAAACTTAATGAGTGTTCAGGTTATGATGTCAGTCCACTCGCTGGCCACTTTATCTGAAACACCTGCCTGATAGTGCCGCTACACAGTTAACTGAATATCCAGCCAAGAGCGGCTCTGTGGACAGAAACTGACCACTGATGAAGGAAGGTGGAGCTGCAGGGGAGGTGTTTCTGATAAAGTGGCCAGGCGTACGCCACCTTTTCTGATGAGTTTTTGGTTGTGCAGGACACTGTGACTGAATTAATAGGCTTCAATAAAAGACGTTGTTGACGTGGTAACATGAAAAACATCACGTTTTAGCAGAATCAGTGCATTTTAATCTGAACTGGTGGATGGAAGCTGCCAGAATAAACTCTGCACTGGGAAACATCTTAACCAGTGAAGCATCTTAAATACAGATACAGACTTATTAAGCAGTTATAAACACTACGCTGCTACAGGGATGGGCTGAAGGGTCAAACTAGGAGAATTAAAGGACTGAAATAAATTAGTGCCATTAATATTTTATCACATTGTGACGACGTTAACTTTGACAGCGCTAATAAAAACCCATTTAAAGCACTTTTTACATGGGATGAGTTTTCCATGGGGAGGTGGGCTAAAGTGGGTTTACTACAGGACGTCTAATGTTTGTGACCGGTTTAAACAGGATGACAAATATCGGTATAAATGACTGAGCTGGACACTCAGACGGGCCTAAAACCACTGAGGTCAAATTTACACCCCCCACCTCCTCATGTAGAACCAATCCTGTATGAATAGGGCTTTAGACTGCATTCATACAGTCCTCACTCTCTTAAATACGGTTCTTTAAGGGTTCTTTAGGAAAGAAAATGGGTCTATATAGAACAATGCACACTCAAAGAACCCTTTCCATAGATTAAAGCGTTCTCTGCATGGTGAAATGGTTCTTCAGATGATGGAGAATGTGCTGCATAAGGTTCTATATAGCACTAAAAAGGGTTCTGCTATTGTTGCAAGCTTGACATTGAAACAATAGAAGAACCCTGTTCAAAAAGGTTCTGTATAGAACCATCTACAGCACATTCTACATCAGTCTGAAGAACCATTTCACCATGCAGAGAACGCTTTAATCATAATGCAAATGGTTCTTTGAGTGGCGTTTTCTTTATTAAAGAACCCTTGAAGAAAAAGCATCATTTTGAGAGTGTACATTAATTTTTGTACATTTTCCATTTTTGGCATATTTTGAAAATACCTGTTGTTCTTTACATTGTCTGTAAATTTCATGATGAATGGACCAAAAGAAACGGCCCAAATGACTTGGAGAAATGTCTGGTTCCATTGACTTACATTAAAATTAAAGTATGTTTTTTCCTTCTCCTGTAAAGAATATATAACACAATTTTATCATGGGAGTTGGATGCACTGACTAGATTTAAGATGCTTTCACTTTTTATACATTTTTATAAACTTTATAAATCAGGATTTCTCAGCCTTTAAGACATCTGAAAGGAGTATAATGGTTCTCTACTAATTCAGCTTTTATTCAGCTTTCAACACGACATATTAGTACAAAACTGCTAGTTACTCTGCTTCAGATCTCAGTTTGGCCTTTATTAGTCTTTCTTCATCTACATTAAAGCTCTGAAGGAAGCCTTAACCTGGCTCTGATCTCCATCTGCTGGGTGTAGTTTACAGTGTGACTCCAGCTCGTTTCCCTGAAGAGCCTCAGAGCTCAGTTATAATGGAGGTCAATGGGCAGACGCTGAAGTCGGTGGGTTTTCTGTTCTGAGTTCAGGGAAACGTGTTGAACTGATCACCCATTATAACTGACTGGCCACTGCAGACACAGCAGATGGAGATCAGGTTGGACAGTGGAGTAGCCCTTTAAATCAGACCTACGTCTGTCCAGTAGGAATAAACACTGTTTCTATTGGAGACGCTTCACTCTGGGCTCAGACTGTCCAGCTTAGTAAAGTAACCGCTGCCTGGACAGCCAGCCGTGAGGAACGGATTTCTAAATCATGATTTAGACTCTGAAGTTGGACGTTTTGCACTTAAAAAGATGTTTCAGCTGAATATGACGTTTTAATTCTGCCGCTGTTCGTCATTTTGTACCGTGTTGTATTTGAAGGTGATGCTAAGTGGATATTTATGTGAAGAAAGAGGAGGAAACGACGCCGTCAGCACAAACATGGCGTTTATTTAAAGATCTGCTATTTTCAGACTCAGTTCACCTTACTTGAATACGTTTTTGAACTCCTTCACTGAAGCAAACTAGTGTCCAGGAAGAAAAACTGTCTGTCTGTGATGAATGTCCACTAATTCAGCTTTTAGCACGACAGAACAGAAGTGGTCAGAAATGCTAATTACTCTGGGAAAAGCTTCACTGTTTGGCCTTTATTAGTCTTTATTAGTCTTTATTAGCCTTTATTAGTCTTCATAAGGGCCTTAAAGGGATACTCCAGCGTTTTTGGTCCTGTCCTCTATCTGCCACATCTTTAATGAACAGTCAGTCACCACAGACAGTGACCGACACGTTTTTCCCTGATCTTATAAAATAACAGAAACGCCTGTTGACTGATAGAAGTCTATGGGCAGAAGCTTCTTTCTGTCCTCTAGCCGAGTTCACTGCGTCTTTCTGTCCTCTAGCCGAGTTCGGGGCGTCTTTCTGTCCTCTAGCGAGTTCACTGCGTCTTTCTGTCCTCTAGCCGAGTTCGGGGCGTCTTTCTGTCCTCTGACCGAGTTCACTGCGTCTTTCTGTCCTCTGGCCGAGTTCACTGCGTCTTTGTCCTCTAGCCGCGTTCACTGCGTCTTTCTGTCCTCTAGCCGCGTTCACTGCGTCTTTCTGTCCTCTAGCCGCGTTCACTGCGTCTTTCTGTCCTCTAGCCGAGTTCGGGGCGTCTTTCTGTCCTCTAGCCGAGTTCACTGCGTCTTTCTGTCCTCTAGCCGAGTTCGGGGCGTCTTTCTGTCCTCTGACCGAGTTCACTGCGTCTTTCTGTCCTCTGGCCGAGTTCACTGCGTCTTTGTCCTCTAGCCGCGTTCACTGCGTCTTTCTGTCCTCTAGCCGCGTTCACTGCGTCTTTCTGTCCTCTGGCCGAGTTCGGGGCCTCTTTCTGTCCTCTGGCCGAGTTCACTGCGTCTTTCTGTCCTCTGGCCGAGTTCACTGCGTCTTTGTCCTCTGGCCGCGTTCACTGCGTCTTTCTGTCCTCTAGCCGAGTTCGGGGCGTCTTTCTGTCCTCTGACCGAGTTCCGGGCGTCTTTCTGTCCTCTGACTGAGTTCGGGGCGTCTTTCTGTCCTCTAGCCGAGTTCCGGGCGTCTTTCTGTCCTCTGACTGAGTTCGGGGCGTCTTTCTGTCCTCTAGCCGAGTTCGGGGCGTCTTTCTGTCCTCTGACTGAGTTCGGGGCGTCTTTCTGTCCTCTAGCCGAGTTCGGGGCGTCTTTCTGTCCTCTAACTGAGTTCAGTTATAAACAGTGCGCTACAGGTGCAGCAGATGGAGATCCGGTTAAAACCACAGCAGTATCCCTTTAACTGTCCCTTCAATCTCTGAATCCATTCCTGAGACCAGTGCTGGGTCAGGCTTTATGTTATAGAGCACATATAGGGGGTTTATTAACGTCTCCTTCTTTGTTCAGCAGACATTTCTACCTGGTTTATTCACTGCACATTAATATTTGTTCATTATGGTCTGTATTGGTACATATTTGAAGGACTGTTACGTGAGAATCAGTGATAACTGCATTATTGGTTGTAATAATGCATAATAAACACTAAGACTTTTTTTTGTTATGCAGGTATTTAGCATGAATTCCGATCTGAAGTCAGTGTCGGTGAATAATCGGTAGCTTTGTAGTCCTGTAGGTTCTAGACTTTATTAGTTTAGACCTAATAAGAGTTTATTGCGTCGCTAATAATTAGAGATGTGAAATACTTCACAAATATGTCATCATGTGTTCCAGACTCCACTGTAGAACCTAATAGAACCTAAAATATCAGAACCTTATTCAACTCTTATTAGCTCTAAACTAAAACACTGACATCAAAGCAATAAACTTCAGACTATCTAGAACCTGCCAGTTAAACACTAATCACCTGTCAATTCAGATCATAATCATAGATCATAAATCAGTAATTTGTATAACAGGGTCTTAATGTGTTTATTGTGCTGTATTACAAATAATAATTGACCTGTTAGTGGTTTTCACAGAGCAGAGCTGCAGGTTTATAGTGAATCCAGATTAACTCCCAGTGAATAAACCAGTATATCCTCAGAATGTGTTCTGTAGAACGAAGTGATGCCCAGGTTTGTTCTTGTTCTTGTTTTGGACCGATGTGTGTCCAGCGTGGTGCCGTTGTTTATTATCTCGTGCTGAAACGCATCTCCATCACTGGTCGTCCACTTTATAAACAAACCGTCAGCAGCTCACAGTTTAAACCCGTCTGTTATTGTTGTTGTTTTCATGTTTTATTTTGAGTCAGACTTCTTTTTACATGCACCTGTGTAAAGGTAATAAAGTAAACCACAGTGAAAACAGACTCTCTTATTTATTTCATATGTGACACTTATCTAGCACTTTAAAAGAACCCAAAGATGCTCACGAGTGTAATTAAACACAGAACACCGGAGAACAAACAAAAAACCACAGAGGCAGACAATGGAGAAGAGGACAGGGTGAAGCTGTAAGGAGGAGGTACTCTTAAAAAAAATGGTTCTTCAAGGGTTCCTTAGTAAAGAAAATGGTTCTATATAGAACCATGAACACTCAAAGAACCCTTTGCATGCTGAAGTGGTTCTTTGCATAATAAAAGGGTTCTCTGCATGGCGGAATGACTTCAGACTGATGAACAATGTGTTGTAGATGGTTCTATATAGCAACATCTATTGTAACGATGTCAAGCTTGTAAAAACAGAACCCTTTTCAAAAGAGGTTCTATATAGAACCATATACAGCACATTCTCCATCAATCTGAAGAACCATTTCATGATGCGAAGAACTCAAGTCATGCAAATGGTTCTTTGAGTGTTCATGGTTCTATATAGAACCATTTTCTTTACTAAAGAACCCATGAAGAACCATTGTTTTTAGGAATGGTGAGTTGTAAATGAGGATAGAGAAGTATGGAGAGAGTGTTGAACTGATGGACAGAAGGAGGAAGAGGGTTCCAGAGACGAGGAGCACATCGAGAAAACGTTCAGTCATCAAAACTACGAAGGTTGGATGGAGGAACAGTTGATAAATGAGCAGAAGATGAGTGGAGAGTGCAGGTGGGCTTATAAAGAAGGAGAAGATCAGACAGGTGGGAAGTAGTGAGGTTATGAAGAGCTTTGTGAGCAGAAGAACTTTGAAGTGAATGCGGTTCTTCACAGGAAGCCCATGGAGAACAGGAGTGATGTGGCTGTGAAGGTGAGTGTGAGTGAAAGGCTCTAACGTTCTAACAGTAGAGCCGACGGGGGGCTTTGAATGAGAGAGTCGGGTCAAGGATGACGCCCAGACTTCTCAGCTGACGGGAAGAGAGACTTGGAACGACAGCAGAACCTTTTTTGGTGCCAATTTCGAAAAGGTTCTACACAGAACACATTCTCCATAAATCTGAGGAACCATTTCACCATGTAAAGAACTTTTTAAGCTTGAAAAGCTTCTATAGTTCTAAACAGAACCTCTCCCTTTACTAAAAACCCTTGAAGATCTGTCTTTAAGACTGTACTATGCTGATAAATGAGAGCTGATTTAGAGTCAGAAGTATCTCAGTCTCATCATGTTGTGTTTCATCCAGAGTTTGATCCGAGTTAAACAGGGCTCCAGTTGTTTGAGGGTGGGTTCTTAATAGATGTCGTCCTGAGATAAATCTTGGTGTGTCAGTGTATCGGTGATGGTTCTGTTCAAAACTCTGTTTGATCTGTCCGAGGGGGAGTATGTAGGTAATGAAGAGCAGAGGTCCGAGGACTGAACCCTGAGGAACCCCTCGAGTAAGAAGCGAAGTGATGGATAAAACCAGAGAGAGAAATAAACTACTTTCTCTCAGTGAGATGACAGGATAACCGGTCCAGTGCTTTATTGATTGGTTTGTTTATTTGTTTACTGGAAATTTTTCTGGATCACAGCATCACAGGAAACCATGATGGACATCACTCGGACCTGGAGTGGCCTTATTGGTTACACCTGCACTACAGCTGGATCTAATGTAACTTCTGTAGGTTAAATGGGTGGAGCTAAACTGCTGTAGCTGAATGGTGGAGCTAAACTGCTGTAGACTGAATGGTGGAGCTAAACTGCTGTAGCTGAATGGTGGGGCTAAACTGCTGTAGACTGAATGGTGGAGCTAAACTGCTGTAGCTGAATGGTGGGGCTAAACTGCTGTAGACTGAATGGGTGGAGCTAAACTGCTGTAGCTGAATGGTGGAGCTAAACTGCTGTAGACTGAATGGGCGGAGCTAAACTGCTGTAGGCTGAATGGGCGGAGCTAAACTGCTGTAGGCTGAATGGGCGGAGCTAAACTGCTGTAGCTGAATGGTGGGGCTAAACTGCTGTAGCTGAATGATGGAGCTAAACTGCTGTAGCTGAATGGTGGAGCTAAACTGCTGTAGCTGAATGATGGAGCTAAACTGCTGTAGCTGAATGGTGGAGCTAAACTGCTGTAGCTGAATGGGCGGAGCTAAACTGCTGTAGCTGAATGGGCGGAGCTAAACTGCTGTAGCTGAATGGGCGGAGCTAAACTGCTGTAGGCTGTTGGACACACAGGGCAGGCTGTACTGAGTACTGCACTCAGAGCTTCAGAGGAGATTTGTTTAACTTCAATTTATTTAATACAATTATTACACACTGAGAAAAAACTCTGCATTAAAGATTCTCCTAAAACACAGCAGACAAACACAACACTCACCACAAACCTGTTTACACAGTGAAACAGACTGACCTGCGCTCAGCTCTAAAATGGCTGACCGTGTGTCTCTATAATGTTCTCAATAATAGAACAACACAGCAGAAATGACTGAGTCAGGTCTGACAGTTCGCTGGTGTGGATTTTAATACAAATGATCTTTTCTTTGTTGATTTGCAACAACTTACCATGTTGAAGGGGAATTCCACTCATCTTTTAAAAATCCCTGCATAATTTAGTTTGGTGTGAAACGCTGTTCTAGATAAACTTACCGAGTCAGAACTGTTCACAGTGGTGGTGATAGGAACCAGACGTCCACCTCTAAAAGCTCCCTCACAGAAAGTTCCTACATGAAATGGTTATGAATTCACTGCCTGATGACTGAGACACTGTTTTATGATAGTTTAGAGAACTTAAACTCCATTCATGGTGGAGGGATACATGCAGGGCGCTGTGAGGCAAAATAGTCCCCAAAGAAAACTTATTATTTCAGTTTTTCCACTATTTTCATCATCAACATTCATATAAACTCAGAAGACTCGTGTAGGTTCACTGGTGGTTCTGGATAGTAAATAAAATATCTATATTTGTGTTGTAGTCATGGCGACCCCTGGTTCCTATCACCACCACTGTGAAGACATCTGAACCATTTCACACCAAACCACTCTGAGTCACTCTGATTACACCTCACACACTGAGTTATGGTGGAATTTTGGGAAAAATTGGTGGAATTCCCCTTTAAAGCCTAACTGGGTTTGTTTTGAGGACATCTGTGGCAGTTTTAGTGACAGTGCTAGATTATGAAAAGGCCACGCCCCTTTTCTCCTCTTGTTGTGATGTCAGCACTGAAACCTTTCAGGTGTTTAACGCACCTTTTGGACCAAAAGAGTTTTAATATGAGCTTCTGACTCCAGTTTAGAAAAGAAAACTCTTCATCATTATTAAGTTAAACCTGCTCTTCATAATAAAGAAGACACTTTAATGATGATCAATAAACTCAAATCAGCACAGAGATGATTCAGAATAAACTAAACCTTCACTGGGAGTTTTTTATCAAAATAAATAAAACTTTTTTCATACAATTTCAAAATAAAGCGTCCCAGACTTCAGATCACCAGGCTGTGATAATCTAATATCAGATATGTGTCGTTCTGGTTACTGTAATAAACCATAATCCTTCTCTGAAGGATCATTTCATAAACTCAGGTTCTTCTATCAGATGTGATCATTAAAACTGAGCCGAGATTCTCAGTCACAGTCTGACTGACCTCCAGTGGCTAAAACAACCAAAGAGAGGCACTGTTATTAAAAATCTCCTAAAGCTGGTGTAGTGCCCCTCTCCAGGCTCCGCCCACAAATGTCCTCTTTCATAGCTACTACTGGACGGTTATACAAGTTTTACAGATCACGGTAAAAATCCCATTAAACCTACTGAGAACCTGAATAACTGACTCTAAATGTAGGTATTGTGATATGAACTGAGTCTGTTCTACAGTTTCTCGTTAGGCTGAATGAATAACCGACTCTAAATGTAGGTATTGTGATATAAACCGAGTCTGTTCTACAGTTTCTCATTAGGCTGAATGAATAACCGACTCTAAATGTAGGTATTGTGATATAAACCGAGTCTGTTCTACAGTTTCTCATTAGTTTTAATGGGATTTTTACCAGCGATGTGTGAAGTTTGTCAAATGTCACAATACGCTGAGTTATTAATACGCACATCAGAGGTGATGATAAACACAGCGAATGAGTGAAAAAGAACAGGCAGTGAGAAAAAAACAGATCTGTAGTAAAACATTCACTCTTCAGTCTCCAGTTAAACCAGCACAGCATCTGATAAACAGTCCTCCAGTCTGTACAGTGAATTTACATACCCAATCAGCTCATATTCCCAAATCCAACGGTAAACATATTTCTCCTCCCAGTCTTCTTAATAATCCCATAACTCAGTGGTGTGAGGTGTAATCAGAGTGATTCAGAGTGGTTTGGTGTGAAATGGTTCAGATGTCTTTACAGTGGTGGTGATGGAACCAGGGGTCGCCATGACTACAACACAGATATAGACATTTTATTTACTATCCAGAACCACCAGTGAACCTACACGAGTCTTCTGAGTTTATATGGAATGTTGATGATGGAAAATAGTGGAAAAACTGAAATAATCAGTTTTCTTTGGGGACTATTTTGCCTCACAGCGCCCTGCATGTATCCCTCCACCATGAATGGAGTTTAAGTTCTCTAAACTATCATAAAACAGTGTCTCAGTCATCAGGCAGTGAATTCACAACCATTTCATGTAGGAACTTTCTGTGAGGGAGCTTTTAGAGGTGGACGTCTGGTTCCTATCACCACCACTGTGAACAGTTCTGACTCTGTAAGTTTATCTAGAACAGAGCGTTTCACACCAAACCACTCTGAACCACCCTGAACCACTCTGAACCACCCTGAACCACTCTGAGCCACCTGAACCACTCTGAACCACTCTGAACCACTCTGAGCCACCCTGAACCACCCTGAACCACTCTGAGCCACCCTGAACCACCCTGAACCACTCTGAGCCACCCTGAACCACCCTGAACCACCCTGAACCACTCTGAACCGCCCTGAACCACCCTGACACCTGAGCCACCCTGACACTCGAGCCCCTGAACACCCTGATCACCCTGAACCACCCTCAACCACCCTGAATCACTCTGTTTACAGCTTAACTGCTTAATTTTTGATGTTCTCCACAATTAGAATTCCCCTTTCCTACGTCCTCAGCTCTCCTTCATTAAGGCTCTACCACATTAAGAGTCAGTCTGGTCAATCTTATTCAAACTCAGTCCAGCGTCCTTTCGGTCATAAGTGTGATATATTGATCAGTAAACAGTTCTAACACTCCTCAATCAGCTGCAGATAACAGTCACCTGTATCTGTATAACTGTTAGACACTGAAACCCATTATCACCGTTTTCAGATCCAACAGTCGCCGGTCCAGTACAGGAGTGTGTGAGACGGTCCAGTAAAGTGATAATCGGACAGAAAGTCCAGTGTAGTTTCCGCCTCTAACCCCAAACATAGCCGATCAGCTGAGACGTGTTTGGTGTCTGAAGTTCGCGTCTTTAGTTTTAGCACTGGAGCTAAGAGGCTAATGTAGCTAACATTTAATGAAAGCCTTATAACCTACCAATTAGCATGGTGCTAACTGGAGCTACGAGGCTAATGTAGCTAACGTAATGAAAAGCTTGTACCCTACCAATTAGCATGGTGCTAACTGGAGCTACGAGGCTAATGTAGCTAACATTTAATGAAAAGCTTGTAACCTACCAATTAGCATGGTGCTAACTCGAGCTACGAGGCTAATGTAGCTAACATGTAATGAAAAGCTTATAACCTACCAATTAGCATGGTGCTAACTCGAGCTACGAGGCTAATGTAGCTAACATGTAATGAAAAGCTTGTAACCTACCAATTAGCATGGTGCTAACTGAGGTTACAAGGCTAATGTAGCTAACGTAATAAAAAGCTTATAACCTACCAATTAGCATGGTGCTAACTGGAGCTACACAGCCTTTAGTCCATGTTTGTAGACAACACAGCGTCAGAAACCACATCATCCAGTCTATTAGAGATGCTGAGATCCTCCATACCGTTAGCACCGTGCTAATTGGTGGGGTACAGCTACATTAGCCCTGTAGCTAAACTACAGGCGTAAACTCAGACACCAAATGCGTCTTGGCTGGCTGACCACATTCAGGGACAGAGAGGAAACTGGACATTTGATTTTTGTCCAAACCGTCGCTCTAAAATATTAATATTAATAATCTGCTGAGTCACAGCACGGCCACGCCCCCGTCGCAGCGGCTGGTGATCATGTTGCCGACCTCGGTCCAGGTGTCCAGGTGTGGGTCGTAAATCTCCACCGAGTCCACAGTGACCGGAGCTGAGAAGTCTCTGCTGGACGCTCGGCCTCCGACGGCGTAGAGCAGCCCGTTCACGGCCGCTACGCTAACACCCGCCCGGGCCACTGACATGGGGGACACCTCCACCCACTTCTCCTGAAAACATGAACACAGAAAAGCCTGGATTATCAACACATTAATCATTATAATTAATATTATTTAAAAAATTATAAATCAATTAATGCCTTTGTTTTTAGCACCATTCACTTGATTTCCACAATCCAAAATATCTGAATTAGGAAACAAATCTGAGACGAACAAAAATAAGAAAAATAAATCAGATTTAAGGGAGCCATAAATACTGGGACGTAGTATTTCCAGAATACTAGTTATGGAGACAGGAGATTAATAACTATTATGATTATTATTATAATTATTAAATGCCTTCATGTTGTTTCAGCACCCGACCCTAAACGGCTCTAGAAGTTCTCTAATGATGGAACGTTTTATTTTGGCAGTTTAGCAGCTCGTTTTACTGCCTTGCGTTTGATCTAGAGTTGATGATTGATCAGCCCAGGCCCAGCAGATTAGCATTAGCCTGAAGGCTAACTGTGGAGCATTTAAATGCCTTTTAATGGGCGTAGTGCCTTAAAATACACTGAGCAGGCGGTCAGTCCTCACCTCCTCTGGACAGTACTTCTCCACCGTCTCCAGTGACCCCAGCGCCTCGTTCCACCCCCCCACCGCGTAGATGCAGTTATTGAGGCTGGCCACGCCCACATACGCCCGGCGGGTCACCATGACGGGCAGAGAGCTCCAGCGCCGGGAGATCGGGTCGTACACCTCCGCCGAGCGGAGCTCCGTCCCCTCATCGCTGATCCCCCCGACCACGTAGATAAAGCCTGAATAAGCAGAGAAACGACACGTCAATCATACCTCACTATAAAACACAAACTCGAAACCCCGCCCCCAAATACAGACCCTCCCTTCACTGTTCTCTAAACCCCACCCCCAAATACAGCCCCTCCCCTCAGTGTTCTCTAAACCCCACCCCAAATACAGCCCCTCCCTTCACTGTTCTCTAAACACCGCCCCAAATACAGCCCCTCCCCTCAGTGTTCTCTAAACCCCACCCCAAATACAGCCCCTCCCTCCAGTGTTCTCTAAACCCCGCCCCAAATACAACCTCTCCCTCCAGTGTTCTCTAAAACCCCACCCCAAATACAGCCCCTCTCTTCCACACTGAGAGAATGAGCAGTTGTCTGGTGCCCTCTAGTGGCAGGTGAAGGCGTGTGCGTCCTGTACCCTGCAGCTCACAGCAGCCGAAGTAATACCGCGGCACCGGCATGTTCCCGATAACCTCCCATTTGTTCTCCTCCGGGTCGTACCGCTCCATTGTTTTTCCGATTTCAGAGCCGATCCAG